TAAATGGAAAAGAGTAGAATGGGGCTTATCCAAGAAAATAAGTTGCCATGGCCAGTCACTAACCATAATAGTGCCAATTATGTGCGTAAGTGCAACACTGCCATTTTGGTTCCCCTCTCTCTTCGCTTCTTCCACTTCATTCCTTTTGTATTGGTCCTTTACCCAAAAGTGTTCAACAAATCACACCAAAAGGTTCCTATCTAGAAGAGGGCTGCGTCACTAACCAAATGATTCATCCATTACTTTCCATCCAACCAAACTATGCATCGTTAACGAAAGAGACCCCTAAAAAAATCCACCAAAAAGGAAAAAATGAAAAACCATGAATTTCTTATAATAAAAAAAGTGAGGATGGAGCAATTAATTAAATCGATGTGAATGGGCAACCCTGACAATTATTTTTATTTTATTTTTGTTACACACAAAAGAAATTGTTTATGCTGAACAAGTTATGGGTAATAGCAGAAGCTACCTAAGATGGTGCTCTAGTGCTGTTGAGCAATGTGCATTGATGATTGAATAAGAAAACATTAGTGGGTAGTGCCCTATATCACCTGTGCCCTCATCCACCCTACCTTACTCGACACACATGTTATACACATTGGAAACATTTGATTTTTATTTCACACGCCCCTTTCCATTACCCATATCCTCTCTTCCACATTTCTTCAAGCACCTTGTCCCCATCCTCTCTCTCATTCATTGCTTGCCCCCTTTCTCCACCTATCAAATTTCCTTCTCCAGAAATTTATGACTTAAATCCATTTTTATGAAACCCATTTGCCTATTTTTAAACACATTGATGGGATTTGGCTTATTCATATGCATTTCTTAACTGATCACATATTGTTTATATAGCTGTTTTTGTCAGGATTGCTGCAATTGAACCCATGCCTTTATGTTAATAGTTGTATATTATGTTGGTTTTAGAGCTCCAATCCCAATGTAGTCTTTCTGTCTTTTGTTTTTTAGCTTTTATATATTACTAACACCTTATATTTGTCTACTTCTTTGCCCTGTCACGTGTTTAGAGATCATAAACTCATAATCACTCCTTCTTGGTGGGGATTGAGCTTATGGGTATAAAAATTGCATGCGTGTTTAAAAGCATATTTTTGTGTGTTTGTGATTTTTCTATTCGTCGACCTAAAGAAAAATGGTTGACAAATTGATAGATATACCATTTTTACTAAAAAATAATTGCGGTATAGTTACTTTTGTATCATTAAATACTATATTTTAAATTTCTTAACCATTCCTACTAACCTTAATGTTTATAGGATTACAAAAGTTCGAAATTAGTGTCAAGTTGGGCCAAATTTATTAATGGTTATTCACCACCAACTCCCCAAGGACAGTAATCCAAGGCATGCCGCATACACCTAGGATTTTCAAAAATTATTCTTTTAGTGATCTCGAATTTTAAGATTTTGGTCTGTATAGAGATGAAACGAATTTAAAATATATCAGATATTATGTTTTCAAGGCTTGTGACATACATAGAGATATAATACATACTGGAAATAATATTAGAAATAAAAATGTTTTGCTAAACATGCAAAAGCAGATAGCATATTATCAATGGCGAATCTGTAAATTTTGAGGGAGACGTATTTTGGATTAAGCTTGAGGTTTAATCCATTGAATAAGACTAGGGATGGTAAATATATCTCGTCCCGACTTTGACGAGAAATACCCTGTTTAACTTGGTACGGGTACGGCGGGTAAAACTCGATATATTAAATCGGGTACGGGTATATACTTACCCGTCCCGTACCCATCCCTTTCCTCATCCCCAATTTAATACTTATTTTCGATTTAATTATGTTAAAGAATTTTAATATTTTATTATGTGTATTATTTATTATAGTATGAGATAGAGAAATAATCTAATTATAATTATAATATAATAAAAAAATAATTTAAAAATATTGTGTATCTTTTTACAAAAAAAAATTACAAGTACAGGTATGGGTATACTCGATACCCGACGGGGACGGAGATGAGGATGAAAATTATATACCCGACGGGTACGAGTACGAGAACTTTGATGAGTTTGACTTGCAAGGACGGGGACCGATATCATAAAACTGTATTCAACCCGTCCCGTTGTCATCCCTAAACAAGACACCTTGGTTTAATTCAAAGGGGAAAAACTCATTTTATCCTAACACAAAATTTACACTTACATAATATTCTATTCGGTAACTACATACCTTGTCTATTTTTTTTTCCTCAAAATTTGAAACTTCTTTTTTTATTTTGATTTTTCACCACTAGAAAATATCTCATATGTAAAACTAGTAGTTTACATAATAAATTACATGATTGTCGTATCATCCTTTAACAATGATACTTGTAAAGTATTTAACTAGAGTGATTGACACAATGAAGAAAACTAGTTGAAGGACTAAAATCGATCACAAACTCATTGATGGAT